CTTCCAAGTAGTTGGACCTACAGGTGTACGTTACCACGCCCCGCTTCTCCCACACCTCCCCAGACCTCTAAATTTCTTGGGATTAGGAATAAAATACTAAAATACCAAAGCGGAAAGTCTGGCCAGCCCAGTAAACCTGAACCAGGCTTCACACTGAATCCCCTCACCTCAGCCTCCCGAAGTACTGGGATTACAGAGGCTTGAGCTACCACACCCGGCCCAATACAGAATTTTTATCGTTCTCTCCACTCATTAATATGCTTCTTGCTGTCCTTCTCCTGGTTAATAGGCATTTGTGTCTGACTAGAAATCTAGGCATCATATATGACTCTGTTCTTCCTTATTGCCCCACAGTCCGCTGGCTTTGCAATATCCCTAGGACCCAACACCATGCTGGGGCACAGTAGGTCCTCAATAGCTAGAATGGTGGAATCTGGCACATCTTCTGGTCCCAGCCTTCATGCCTTCATCCTCTTGCTTATACTCTTCTTTGCTTGGCAAACTCATCCACCTCCCAGTCCCAGCTCCTCTGGGGTACCTCCTTGCCTCCTCCTGGGAAGAAATCGGAAGAAGTCTGTATGTCCCCATTGCACGTTGTGATGCTTCATTGAAGCACTGATTGCAGCATTTTGTAGATAAGGCTTTACTTATTTGCTTGTAGTTGTCGGTCTCTCTTGATGGGCTCCGAGCTCCTTGTTCATTTAGTGTTCCCTCAGCCAAGCTCAGTAGGAGTTTGTAGATGTGTGGAGCAAAATGCTTTATCTAGGACTTTGCCCCAGTGGCTGTGGTCAAAGATGACGCAAGAGGTCTGACGGGACTGGGACAGAATAAAGACAGCACCAGTCCTCGGGCTGGAAATTTCTGCTGGGCCATCGCCAAGAAACTGCTCCACTCAGGCCATTTGCCACCTGGTCTCACTCTGCCCCAGTTGATCTCTTCCCTAGTTGGACTACTGGCTGCCATTCTGTGATCCTTTCTAATCGTGCCCCCTCTTCAAAGCCCAGCCTGGCTCCACCCCCTCCAGGAAGTCTTGAGGCCACTGGCTAGTCATCAGCCCACCCATTGGGTATCGTAGCGCCCCTTCTAAGTGTGTAAGGCGACTTGGAGCAAAGGAAGATAAGGAAGGAACATCCTATAGCCATGTTCTTCAGGAGCATATAATCAAGTGTGATACTTAAAATGCCAGCTTGTGTTTTACTTTATTTTATTTTTAGAGACGAAGCCTCACTGTCACCCAGGCTGGAGTGCAATGGAATAATCATGGTTCACTGCAGCCTCAAATTCCTGGGCTTAACTGATTCTCCTGCCTCAGCCTCCCAAGTAACTGGGATTTCACGAGTGAGAGACACCATGGCCAGCTTGCATTTTACTTACATTAAAAAAAAAAAAGAATACTATTTCTACATATTATATATAATTTTTTTAAATTTTAAAAGCAATTTTAAATATATAGAAATAAAAATCATCTGCAATCCTGTTACCCAGAGGCAATCTCTGTTAACATTTTAATGAATTTCTCATTCAGGTTTTTGAAAAGTATAATTTTTACCTTTTTATTTTGAAATACTTTCAGCCTTAGAAAAATTGTGAAAAGAGTAAGGAAAATGTCCATATACCCTTTGCCTAGATTCACCAGTTTTTAACATTTTGTCATATTAAAAAAAATTACCTTTGCCTACAAGTGATCATAAAGTCTCAAAACATTGCAAATAAACATGATATCACCAGGACATCTTCAGTCTGTAAATAAGTGGAAGTATAGTGCCTGCATTTCCAGATTTTGTAGAAATCTCCCTCTATATTTATACTTTTTATTTTTCTTCAGCTATTTGATAGTAGGTTACATTCGTTCATTTCTTAATACTTCAGCGTACATCTCTTAAGAACAAGGACATTCTCTCATATAACTGCAGTATAGTTATTATGTTCAGGAAATGTAATATGGATACAACACTTCTATTACTCTGTCATGCATTCTGTTTATCTCCTTGTTTGTTGAGTGGGGGGGGTCACACTACTTATATGCATTTTATAAAATATTTCAATTTTTTTTTTTTTTGAGTTGGAGTCTCACTCCGTCGCCCAGGCTGGAGTGCAGTGGCAGGCTCACGGCCACCCCAGCGTCGACCTGATGAACTCAGGCAATCCTTCTGCCTCATCCTTCCAAGTAACCGCAACTATAGGCGCGTGCCACCACGTCCAGCTAATTTTTGATTTTTGATTGTAGAGATGAGGTCTTGCCAAGTTGCCCAGATTGGTCTCAAACCCATGGGCTCAGGCAATCCACTCACCTTGGCCTCCCAAAGTGCTGAGTTTACAGGCTGAGCCACCAAGCCCAGCCCCTATGTTTCAATTTTGTCACTTGTCTCAGTAATGCCCTTGAGATCTTTTTCCCCTTAAGTTCAAGATCCAGTCCCAAATCACACATTCTGTATTGAATATTCTCTTTAGTGTCCTTTATAGTCTTACTTTGTCTTTCTGATATTGACATATTGGGTGAACAAGGCCGGTTAATTTATGGATTGCCCCTCAATTTTGGTTTGATGTATCCTCACAAGTAGATTCAGCCCTTTTGGAATACCATGTAAGTGATGCTGGGGACTTTTCAGACTTCATATCTGGGGAACATAATGTCCATCTGCCCCTCATTGGTCCTTTAATTTAATTAATTAATTTATTTTGAGTTGGAATCTCACTCTGTCGCCCAGACTGGAGTGCAGTGGCACACTCCTGGCCACTGCAGCCTTGACCTGCTGGGCTCCGGTGATCCTTCTGCCTCAGCCTTCCAAGTTGCTGGAACAACAGGTACCCGCTACCCCACCCGGCTAATTTTTTTTTTTTTTTTAATTGTAGAGATGAAAGGGAGTGGGTGAGGGAATTGCCTCCAATTTGCCTGGGCTGGTCTCAAACCCTCGGGCTCAGGCAATCCACTCGCCTCGGCCTCCCAAAGTGCTGGGATTACAGGCTGAGCCACTGAGCCCTGCATCATTGGTCCTTTTAACATGTCCTCATCATTTGGGTTGGGGAGTAGGACTTTGTTATTTCCTGGCACAACAAAACATACTGGTTTCATATTGTACTTACCCTGCCCCAGTCCTGGAATCAGCCGCTTCCTAAGGAACCCCGCTTCCTTTTCGTGGACCAGCATTTGGATGCCATCGGTCATTTTGCTCTTCATTTGGTGTCTGTCTAGTTCTATTTATCTCCTTGTTTGTTGAATGGAAGTCACACTGCTTATATGCATTTTATAAAATTGTAAACATTAATCCATGTCATAAATGTTGCCTGAAAACATGATTTTAAAGTCTGCATAGTATTCAATCATATGAATGGACCATCATTTATTTAACCATCTACCTTTGTAAATAACACAGCATTGAACATCTTTGGTGTGTACCCCTGACCACATCTCTGAACATCTTGGGTTATTTCCTTAGACTACTTAGAGGACAACAGTGTGAACCTCATGTATGTATGTATGTCTTAAGTGGGGAAATTGTTTAGGCAATTTGAATAAGTTAGAGAGGGCTGGGTGCCGTGTTTCATGCCTGTAATCCCAGCATTTTGGGAAGCCGAGGTGAGAGGATTGCTTGAGCTCAGGAGTTTAAGACCAGCCTAGGCAACATAGTGAGACCTTGTCTGTACAAAAAAAAAAAAAGAAAGAAAGAAAAAAAATTAGCCAGGTATGGTGGTGTGCACCTTTAGTTCCAACTGCTCGGGAGGCTGAGGCAGAAGGATCGCCTGAGCACAGGAAGTCGAGGCTGCAGTGAGCTGTGATCATGCCATTTGCACTTCATCCAGTTGGGGCTACAGAGTGAGAACCTGATTAAAAATAAATAAAATTATAAAAAATAGTTAGAGAGGCAACTGCTTTTTGCTAAGAATGGCGCTGAAGCTTGATTTGGTCTGTGAGAGGCAGCAGCTGGGTGGGGTGGTGGTAGGGGTGAGAGGCTGCTCCATGAAAGGGGACCACAGTGGGCAGATAGAGGGGCGATGGGCCTGGTGTGTGCAGACTTTGGGGTGACCCAGGGCCTAAGACAGGGTCTTTCCTAGGAAGAGAAAGGAACAGGAGTGACTGCAGGGTCTGGTGTCCCAGGGAGTGTGGAGGCTGTGTTGCCTCCACTATGCAGAGGAGGATGCTTAGAGAGCTGAAGCCTCCAGGGAGGAACTTGGGGCAGAGCCTGGAGTGTAGTGAGGCATGAACCCCCAGCGTTTGCAGCTTTCCCCTGCATCCCCGAGCTTGGCACTCTCTCTTCCCCTTGAGCTTGGCTTTGCCCAGTTGGCTTAGTCCCCAGAGCAGAAGGCCTAGCAGCAGCGTTGCCTGGTTTCCTTTCATTGTGTTCTAATGCCTGTGGCCTGCTTAGCACAAAGCCCTCCTTTTCCAGGGTCCCTGCTCTGGGGCAGGCCTGGGGGAGCTGACCTCTCATCCTGCGCCTCACTGCAGCTGTGGGGCTATGGGTGAAGGAGAGCCTGGGGGCTGTGAGCTTGACACTGTCATTCTTGAGCTGTGCCTGTGGGGACCGTCCCCCTGGGGCAGAACTGGACCTTGGGGAGGGACCTTGTGAGGGGTGGGCAGGACCCTCTATCACCCAAGAAGTCCTGAGCAAGGCAGGGAATCTGCAAGAGGACTGGGGACCAGGCCTCACTCCCAGTCTGCATGCCCAGTTTTACCTGGGAGCTTCTGAAGAGCTCAGAATAACTCTCATGGCATTGGGAGAAAGTGAGAAAAATGAGAGGCAGCTGGAAGAGAGGTTGGGACAGTCACTGAGTGTCTGAATGGCCTCTCTGAGTTGACTTTAGGAAACTCTCAGCCCCAGGAAAGCTGTCCTCAGGACCCTGAACATTGAGGCGTGCACTGGCTTCATCAATCACCCCCATGGGGCATCCTCTGGGGGCCGGGGACCCCAGTTATAAGGGTGAGCTGCAGGGTGGGGTTCCCCAGTATGTGGAAGATGGTGTGCTGCAGCTGATCCACTCTTCTCTCCCACCCCCTTCTCTAGACGTCGTTCTACGGTCGCTTCAGGCACTTCTTGGATATCATTGACCCTCGCACCCTCTTTGTCACCGAGGTAAGTCACGACTGTCACCCTCCATGGCCCTTTGGCCTTTATACCTTGTCACTTCAGAACATGTGGGTCATCTGAAGGGCCAGAGAGGGTGAGGATGGTGGAGTGAAGATGTTAGGGGAAGTGGGAGGTGAGAGGAAGGTAACGGATATTCTATATCGATCTCTACCTCTATCTGTTTACCTATCTACCTATCCGTCTATCTGTCTGTCTATCTATCTAACCTGTCATCTATCGACCTATCACTTATCCACCTACCTGTCTGTCCATCTATCTATATCATCTATCAGTCTATGTATGTATGTATGTATGTATCTATCGAGCTCATACACTGTGCTGCTGTGTGCTTTTTCATGTTATTTCGTTTGGATTTTACACCACCTTTTCAAGGTAAACATTGTTATTATTTAAAACTTTGATGAAATTATTACCAAGTACCTGAATTATATGCTCATTATAAAAGTTCAAACAATACAAATATGTCTAAATAGAACAAAAACATATATCCTTTAATCAATCTTCTTCCAAAGTTCCCTCCCCTTATAGGTAACAACTGTTAATGGCATTTAATGTCAGGTTTATTAAGGTATGATTTACCCTTTCTAGGTGTATAGTTCTATGAGTTTTGACAGATGTATTTAGTCTTGTATCTACTGCCACAGTTAAGATGCAAAACATTTTCAATACCCTCGTGCTATTTTATAATCAATTCCCTCACCCACTCCCTTTCCTAGCCCCTGACATCTAATCATCTCTTTTCTGTTTCCATTATTTTGCTGTTTCCAGAATGTCATATAAATGGAATCCTACAGTATGCAGCCCTTTGTGTCTGGCTTCTTTCCTTTAGCATAATGCTTTTGAGATTCATCTGTGTTGCATGAATCAGTAGCTCGTTCCTTATTGCTTAGTAGTGTTCCATTGAAAGGATGTTCCAGAATTTGTTTATCCATGTCCCTGTTGATAAATACCTGGGTTCTTTTCTGGTTTTGGCTGTTATGAATAAAACTGCTATGAACATTCATTGTGTGGATGTATGCTTTCATTTCTCTTAAGTAAATAATTGGAAATGGGATTGCTGAGTCATATGGTAAGTGTGGTAGAGATATACTTAACTTAATCCGAAACTGTTGTTCAAAGGGGCTGTACATTTTACATTTCCATCACAATGTATGAGAGTTCCAGTTGCTCTGCCTCCTCACCGACACTTGCTATTGTCAATTAAAAAAAAAATTTAGCCATTCTAAGAAGTGTGTCTTTATAGGTTTTTTATATGTATTTGCAGATGTGTGTAGGAATGTGGGTATGTATAAAATACAAATATTTATTAAATACAGTGAACAAGGCAATTTGCAAACATTGAACATTCATTGGCTCATCAGATTAACTCAAAGCAAACATAAGGGCTGGATGCTTATTCTAAACTCCGTGCAGGTGGAAATTGCTTCATGCACATGATGCTGCAAGTGATGAAGTCAGAGCACGAACCCAGTTATGCTTGTCTCCAGGCTCTTATTCTCAGCCAGTTGCATTCCTGTCCAGGTAGCTTGAGTTTAGGGAACTTGTCCAAGATTACTCGGCTGGCAGAAGGCCTGAGCTCCAGCCCTGGATCCTCAAGCAAACAGCACTTCACTGTGCATCTTCCTACTGCTGAGCATTGGCTTACTTTAGCCCTGGAGATGACCAGCTCTGAGAAAGAAAAGCCATGATGGAAGGAAGCCCAAGCCATGATGAATGGTTTTGGGCCTAGAACCATCCCCCGCTGTGCCTGGGGGAGCCATTCGGTAAAATGAAATGTGGAAGTTACCCTGAGATGTGGTTTCCTACTGCATTTCAGAAGGACAAAGGGCTCAGATAATTTAGTGGCTTGCCTGGGCTCTGTCTGGATTCTCCTAAGGAGTAATCAATATGATTATGTAAAAATTTAGAAGAGCACCAAACTAGACAAACTATTTACCCGGCCTAGGTAATGTGCCATTCTACGAAGTTCCAGAACTGTGCAAAACTAGATACAATTGCAGTCCTAAAATCCCAACGTAAATGCCACCAGTTTGACAAAGGTGTCAGCAGAGGCCAGTGCTTAACTCAGAGGATGGAGGTGCTAATGGTGGACTTTGAGCCATGTTGAGAAATGTTGGAGGGAGGCTTTGGAGGTAGGGAGTTACCTCAGTGCTCTTCAGATTACCATGAGCAGACAGGGGCTTTGGGGATGGGTGAACAGCTACAAGGGACTCACATCCTCCATTCTCCCAGTTCGCCCTCCTCCCATTCTCAGACCATTTTGTTTTACTCCTCTCTTCTTTGCACCACAATTTTCTTCTTCAACTCTTGCATTTTAAAAGACCCCAACATTCTTGTACATCACTAAACTATTTTTGGCCTTTTTCTTCTATCAGTAAATTTTCTAAAATCTTTAAAAAAAAACTATTAATTAAAATGTCAAAGCAATTTAAATATTTACTGACTAGAAAATAACCAAGGCAACAGCAATTTTAGAATGTTTTTCAAGTTTCATGTGTTCCTTCCCCTCTTTTGAAATTCTGATAGGGTTCTCAAAAAGATCTGTACCTCTCTTTCCTGATGTACCCTAATTGGGGATCTGCTGGCCTTTTGGAAAACTTCTGTCTATAATAGATCTTCTAGGAAGGCCAACAAGGTAGTGGTCCTAACCCTCACTGAGTCTAGACTAGGTGGGTTGTTTAGCAAGGCCATCTCCATCGATGCAATGAGAAATTAGAGGAACCTGAGCCCCTCCTCAGGAGCTGTGGGGTAATCAGGCTTCCCCACACTGCTGGGGTTAGTCCATGGACTATGGCTTTTGTCTGAGGAACACTGTTTCCCTCCCAGGGCCCTTGGCTGGCGTCCTGGGAAGGAGTGTGGCATGGTGGCTGCCCAGCAGGAGGAGACCTGGATGGGCCCGTTTGTCTGTGAGGGTGGGAGGATAGTGGAGGACATGAGGAGGTGGCTCTGGAAGCTGGAGGGTCCAGAGGTAGAAAGATCCAGGGCAGCTTGAGCCATCTGTGACCCGGTTCTGAAGGACATTAGTTGAGTCAATGGAGAGACTCCTCTTGAGGGAGTTTGCAGTTACTTGTTTACAATTTATAACTGACCATGCTTTAAAAATATTCCAAATCTTGTATGTGTAATGAGGTGAAGGAAATTTTATTCACTGTAATTTTTCTTAGGAAGAAGGCTGTCTTTGTTCTAAGAATGCCTTGAACAAAGCTTCCAAGGAGGAGGAGGTTGTTCTGCTTGACAGAGGGGGAAGAATTGTGATTTTTGAACCTAAAAGGAGAAAAGAAAGAGAAGGAAGAGGAGAGAAACAATAGGAAGGAGAGCAAGCAACCAGGATGAGCTGAAAGAACAGTAAAAGAAATGCCGCAGCAGGGGTGTGACGGGGGCTCTTTTGAAACAGGTGATACCAACTGTGTTTGTGAAAGTTGTGAATTTGCACTATTATCCCCTCTACCATCATTCCTGGGAAGCTGTCAGCAAAGTCTGCCTGGTTCATGAAGTCTAGGCAAGAGACGATTTCGGAGGCTCTTGAAGGGCTGTGATCCTCCTGTCCAGGGTGTAGTGTGTACAGAATTGTACCCAATGAAGGAAACCACCATGAGCTTGCAGAAGCCCAAAGAGGGAAGCTTTAATCTTCCATGTAGGCCAGGGAATTTGATCTAGATCCCTTTCTGTTTCTCTTGTTTTTCTAGAGATGTCTTTCTTGTTGCTCAGGTTGGTCTCGAACTCCTGGGCTCAAGCAGTATTCCCACCTCCGCCTCTCAAAGGACTGGGATATCAGCCCTGAGCCAGATCTAGATCTCTAAGGGCAGGGCTGACATGACATCTGAATTGCTCTTAATTATGGACTAAAGATGAAAGGAATTTGCTATCAGAATTTAATAATTACTTGTGAGAATGAATGGTTGACAAATTATCATCCTAAAGAACCTAGAAAACTAACAGAAATATTATTAATAGTCGGGCTTAGTGGCTCAACCTATAATCCCAGGACTTTGAGGCCAAGGCAAGTGGATTGCCTGAGCCCGTGGATTCAAGACCAGCCCGGGCAACTTGGCGAGACCTCATCTCTATAATAAATCAAAAATTAGCCAGTCGCGATAGTATACGCCTGTAGATCCGACTACTTGGAAGACTGAAGCAGGATTGCCGGAGCCCAGCTGGTCGATGCTGGGTTGGCTGTGAGTGTGCCACTGCACTCCAGCCTGGGTTACAGAGTGAGACTCCAACTAAAAAAAAAAAAAAATACTATTAATAATACCAACTCAGCACTAATATTGGTATAGTAATGAGAAACTATTTTGGGTGTATTATAGGACAGAATGAATGAAGAATTACTATGATGTTGTGAACCAGAGTTCTCACTGAGAGCTGAGAGATATGCATATGGAGTAGGGAAAACACAAAAAGAACTATGTGAGGTTGTATTTGAATTGGCGGTATTGGTCTGAATTCATCACACACACACACACACACACACACACACACACACACACTCACACACCCCGTTTCCTAATTTTCTGGCTCTGTTCTCTGAAGGGCCTAGAAATAATGAATGACACCTCAGTAGGAATGAGGACACTTAGCACTCAGATCTTGGTTTCTCAATACCACTCACGAAAAGGAACCAAGGCTTTTTGGAGAGGGTGTTATCCAGATCTGAGGCAGTGAGAGTTGCTACAGAAAGCAAGGATCTCAAAAGAATGATGGATACCCAGGAATTGACTTGAAAGGAAACCCACTGGCCACATTTGGAACAATTTGGACATTAAGAAGAAAAATAGTAGTGAGTCTAACACAGTGAATTAAGGGGGAAAAAATGAGTCCAAATTCTATGATTTGAATGTGTCTCCTCCAAAATTCAGGGGTTGAAACTTAATGGCAAATGTGATCATATTAAGAGGTGGGGCCTTTAAGAGGAGATTTGACCATGAGGGCTCCATCCTTGTGAATGGGATTAAGGCACTTGTAAAAGAGGCTTCACACAGCGT